GTGTTAGTAGATGATCTCCGTCTGGCTCTTCTGTCTGATCTCAAAGTGGATTGCTGGTCGTCTAAAGTGCTCATCATTTTGCGTTGGTTGGGCCATGAGTGGCCGGCGTGTGACTCCGTTTCTCAGAAGGTAGATGTATACTCGTCTCAGTTGATTCGAGTGGGTGAGGTTCTGGAGAGGTTATCTGCGTTCCTTTTAAGTGACTGGGATCAGTTCAGCCAAGGGGGTGATCCGCGTGTGTTCCAAGGTAAAGGGGTTTCGCTTTGCAGGTATCATAACTGGATGGGCTCCCCTTCACCAGCAAGAGAGGGCTCCGATCCCACAGGCTATGTGCGTGTTTATTTGCCGGTCAACCAGTTGCGTATGGTTGCCAAATTCCGTCTTTGTTGTTGGCCTTTGGAGGTCAACAAAGGACACCATAGGCCGAGAGAGTGCCGTACGTGTCAGGTCTGTACGTCGGGTAAGGTTGAGGATGAATATCATGTGCTCATGGAGTGTGAGGCGTATACTGAGTTGCGTAATAGGTTTCTGATTAACGTTGAAGATACTGATATGCGCAAGGTATTTCTTAATACCAATCCGAGGAAAATCGCTACTTTCCTTACTGAGGTTTTTGATGAGCGTCAACAGCGTGCTCTGGAGCCTCACGGCTCGTGAGGGCACCCGCCGCGTCGGCGGCGGAAATACTGTAACCACAATACAATATCACACGGGATGATCGGAATCGAAGGACCTAGGCAGCTTGCCGTCCGTCAGCACAAGCCAGTCGCCGTACGTGTGCAGCCCCGCCGTCGTCAGGGTGGCCGACGGCACCGTCACACCGCGGCCGCTAGGTACGAACGTGATGACGCACACCGCTGCAGCAGGACCCGCCACGGCCAGGTGCTCGCAGATTCCCAGTCGTTGCTCCGAATGGAACTTGCCTGATCAGGAGATGTCACATAAAAAGCATATGCGCAGCAGAAAAAAGTATAAATATGTATCTCCAAGTGGGGGAAGGGGGAACGGTGCAGCAGGCCGGGGAGGCGGGGGGGTAAAACAGGCCATTTTCCAAGAACATGACACACACCGCGTCGATGCGAACAGACGGCATATTGATGGTGTTGCTTGTTTAGGCCAGCGAGAACCCATTGGCCTGTTGTAAGGTGCTGGTGCTAGGTGCCTGGTAACTGGCTGCCCAAGCTGACAGATGAAGGCTCCATTGATGGGGCCGAGCGCGGCCACTCGGTCATACCGCCGCCTGTACGATGTGCAATGTGCGGTGGTGAGGAGGGTTGACGGCGGGTGGTGAAGGAGAGGAACGAGTGGCTGAGCAAACATAAGCCTCGCCTTCGGCACCATGTACGCATCCTAACGAACCACCTAATGGTGATTGCGCACGGTAACCCTTGTGCATGATGTACATGCAAAAGGTATTGAGCATTATAGTTAGCGTTATACGATCTTAGTGTTCATGAATGATCCATGGCTTCCCCGTCTTTGACGGACCCCTCCGCACTTGTGCGGACACTGTAGCTGTAACGTAGCATTACATGCTCAGTAAAGCCAGTAAAGCCGCCACAGTTGTCGTCAGCTTGACTCAATAGGACTTACCGCAAATGTGCACCACCAGTGGCCGCCTGCCGGGGGCTCCCGCTGCAACCTCCGCTGCTCCTCCAGTGCCACCACCACCAGCTGCAGCAACAGCACCAACATCATCACCATTACTAGTACTGCTGCTGCTCCCAGCCGCAGCCCCGAGCTGCCTCAGCGTCCGAACTATGCTGTCTGCCATGACCGCATCCCACAGGTTTTGAGCCTCCACGAAGTTGGATCGCAGCGTCAGCCCTATGTGTGGACACTCTTTGCCACTGCCGCCGCCGTTGCTGCCATCGTTAGCAGCTGCGGTGGTGGCAGGGCTGCCAGCGCTGCTTGATTGTGGCGACTTCGCGGCCTCGGAGCCGCCGCCGCCGCCACCACTTTGCGGCGCCGCTGCCGCTGCCGCTGCCGCAGTGGTGGTGGCCGTGGCGGGGCTGGTCCCAGTCAGTGGCGCAGCTCTCTCCTCATCCTCCTGTTGGTCGTGGTCGCGTGCAGTGTCCTCGGGTGCCGGCTCACGGGCTCGCTGGGGATGGGAGATCGGGGATCGGGATAAGGTCGCATTCATGGACAGAGAGAACAGTAGCACTACAGTAGCACTCCTTCGACGATGCACCACTCATCAGTCACATACACCCCTTCGGAACACGAGTTGAAACATGAAAAACACATGGCATTCTCCCGACCACCCGAACCCCCGCCTTTTTTCCTCCTCTCTCGCCTGGTCCATATCATCCCGGCCCACCCAAGCCCACGCACACACACACACACCTCCCTTCCCCCTAAAGCCTTGCTAAGCCCACCTGCATCGTCCAGCGGATCTTTGCGATGTACTTGTCTGATGCGGGTCTCAGTGGCAGGGGCGGCAGGTGGCGGCGGGATGACTCGGGTAGAGAGGACAACACTCGGGAGCCATGGCGTCCCACCAGGCTCACGTACCTGAGGACAGACAGACAGACAGACAGCGAGACTGAGTAACAGACAGATAGACGGACCAACACGCAGGCAAGAGAGAGTGACAAGCAGGCAGACAGACAGATAAACAGGCAAGAGAGGGAATGCAGGCATAGAGTGACGCTGGGGAAGGCAGGTGGACTGACAGTACACCAGATGATGATGAGGGCGGTCGCGGAGGGAGAAGGAAGACACCAAAACAATTCATCAAGCAGCGGTGTTCTTCTCACACCTGCCGTTATGTGTGTGTTCACCTCCTCCGAACCAACTAATTACCCTTTTGCCTTTAGCCTTCACGAACTCAATGCGCTATGCTATGCCACCAGCTCACAACCCCTCCGACAGTGCAACAGCACAAAGCGACGCGACGCAACACAATGCACGCATAACAGACCCCACCACCACCACGTGTGTCCGTCCCTTCGGGTGGCTTAGCCGTACATCGCGTAACGCAAGCCCCTACGCGACCTGACCTTAGCCAACCTGACCTGACCTTCGTGGCGCGTTGGCACACACGACCATCGCCCCCGCCTCTTTAGCCGCCAGAACCATGGGTCGGTAGTCAGAGAAGTAGTTGGGCCAGGGTCTGTTGGCATCGCGTCACGGTCAGAGGCCGGCAAATCATTGTTTTTTCAGCTGCGGCTTGCCGTTATTTCTGTCATTTCAAGTAATATTTTGGGCGCCCACTGGCTCCAAGAAAAAACTGTTTTCGGGCATGTTCCTATCATATTTTGGGACCCGCACGGGACCTGCAGGCGGAGGACCTATATAGGCGTCTTTCGGCTTCAGGTGCTTTGCGATGCGACCTGCCGGACTTTCCGCAGCTCCTGATGACGATGTCTGTTCACGGTAGCAGGTGGGTTAGGAGGTGCGCTGGCTACGGTGACTGTTTGTGTAGGTCTAGAGTCAGCGACACAAGGGCTGAAACGATTGCGGAACGAACGACAGCACAGGTGTGTCATTTCGGGCGTGAACGGACCGAGAGAAGACATAGCGGGGTATGCCGGGACCGGCAGCAGTAGGGTGGAAGAGGATGAGGGTCGCGCGGAGATGTGAGTGGCAGTGGTGGCATGGCTGGCTGCACTTGCTGCTGGCAACTAGTGTCATGTCAGGTTTCGATCGGGGGCAGCTTTCTATTGAGGCGGCAGCTTGCGTCCGGACCGATTCGGGTTCGTGGGAGGTTGTGGTCCACTGAATACATACATTTATCATGATTCGCTATAGTCTAGGCGGTTAGGATGCGAGATTTTCACTCTCGAGACCCGGGTTCGAGTCCCGGTAGCGAAAGCTTACGAGAATTATAGGCATTATATTATTGCAAACACCGATGCCCCGGAGGTTCCAGGTCGAGATGTGGCTGTATTTGCTGGTTGGCCGTTAGTGCAAGGACACATTAGTGCATAAGGTAGCCAGCAGCCAGCCAGCCCGGCACGCGGTTACGCGTAGGAAAAACGCCGTACCATAACTGTACGTACCGGGCGTCCTTCATCAGGTCAGCTTCCGTCACCAGACCTGGTGGGCAGTGCAACAGCCGCAAAAGCTGTCACACAGCCAAGAAAATCAGGAAAATGACATCATCGTCACCACCACTATGGCTGCAGTAACAGAAACATCAATCCAGCCACACAGCAAGCTAAACTCGCAAGCCAGCGCCGTTGCAAAACCAAGTGCTCCCGTCGACCTTACCTGACAGATACTCATCCATAACTCCCTGGACGTCACGATCAAACATCTCCAAGCTGAGAGCCACCGGGCGACGTAACCCCTCACCCCCTGCGGGAAGCTGCTGGTGCCGCTGCTCATGCTGTGGCAGCGACGGCGGCGATCCCCTCCTCCCCTGACTATGAACGTCCCTTCCAGACGTCTCTACACAGCTGGAGCTAGTGCTAATGCTGCCGCTGCTGTCGCCTTGCTGGGTATACGGCACAAGGCCTAACACGTGCCGCAGCAGCCGCAGCTGCAAATGGTGAGCGACCGGGTCGTCGTGGTACTCGCCCAGCAGTACGACATCGTACGAGTCGAGGGACGCAAGCAGTGTGTCGAAACTGCATGGCGATCCCTCGGCATCATACACAGCGAACGCGGAGCCCTCTTCCATGACGGCCTCGCTTGCTGTCATCGCCGCCTCCGTTGCAGTCCAGTCGTGTGCCTTTCGTGCCTTTTGGGCGCCTCCTGCGGACGTCGTTGGTGGGTGGGGTGCCGAGGCGGCGGTAGCGGCATGTCTGGGCATGAGTGGTGCCGCACGCTCGCATCACCATGCTGCCTAAGGGTTGTCTGGAGCCATCAGGAGCTCTCCCGCTCCTGGGTGAGCCAGGCTGTGAGTTACACAGCTGTACCCACAGCTGTACTGATCAAGCAGAGCACTGCACACTTTTACCCACTTGCTTGATGAGGGACGCAAACAAGCATTGAAGGAGTGATGGAATCCAACGAGCAACTGAGGAGCAACTAAGGAGCAACTAAGCAAGGAGCAAGTAACCAACACAGCCGTTAAGGAGCTTGCTCATTGGGTGCTCGCAAGGGCGTAGCTCCCGCACCCGCACAGGAGCGGAGTGGGGGGGCATCGTGGAATTGTGGTACTGACTAGCTCACCTGGTGATGGGGGTGAGGTGGGCTGCTGGTTTTGGAGGCGCCAGGGCCCTCCACACGGCCCTGGAGCCAGGGACCTGGGCTCTTGAGGCGTCTGTGCATATGGGTGCGGAGGGGGGAGACTGGGTAAGTCCGTGCCTCCATCACCACAGACAACTGAGATGGGCACCTTACATTGGTCGGTTCGGGGTCGTTTGTTGTTGCCGCGGAAGCAGTCGCCGACACCGCGGCTGCAGCAGCCGCAGCCGCAACAGCAGCAGCAGCAGCAGCTCCTGCTGCCACTGCTTGGGTTGAGGTAAACGGTGTTGAGGTACGCGGCATGGCGTGTACAGCATGAGCCACAAAAGCACTGGGTTCCCCGGTGACCGCAGTAGCAGCATAAGTACTTTGGGGAGTTGCTATTTGGTGAACTGTACGAATATGTCCTGTGACAGGAGATCCAAAAGGAATCCCGCGAGCCGCCAGTCCTACGGGAGAAGTTGACGCCGGTAATAATGGGGCTCTTCGCTCCTGGGTACCACGCCAGGGAGCTATCAGACGTATCTGATTGTGGAAGACTTGACCGGGATCAAGGCGATGTAAGGCGATGTGTTGCATTTGGGATTTGGGTTGGGCATGTGGCTGTGACGAGAGGTAAGATGCGACGCGTGACGCTGCGGGGCTCGGTGAGGAAATGGCCGTCATGATGACTGTGGATGTCACAATTGCGGATGGCAAGTTGCGCGTTTGCAGCGGCGGTTGTCGCTGCTGCGGAACCGGTAGGCCCCAGGATGTCTCACGCCAGAGTATGGACGATTTCCATAGGCCCCGCAGCGGATTTGATACGAGGTCATCTGAGCGTGCATAAAATCGACTGCACGAACCTGTGAATGATACCCCAGCATTGCTCAGAAACATTCGGTTGGAATAGAAAGTCAAAATGCCTAAGACGTAAAAATTGGTATGATAACCGCAAAAGATGCCCCAAAGAAGGAAGTCCTCAAACCTTACGAGAAGTCTTGGTAACTTTGTCGACGCATAAGGTACCGCAAACTATAGGGGCTGTTATAACATATAGTAAGGGCTGTTAGAATATATAATAGGGGCTGTCAGAATATATCGTGGCTGCTATTTATAAATAAAAATTGGTTGTGAAATCGGGACCGAAGAGGAGAATCGTCTTATGATAACAGTCAACCGCTATGAAGTGCACACTTTCCAGACGCGACAGCAGCGATCCAGTGATTTGTGATTCACGCATCAAACGTACATGCAAGGAGCAGTAACATTAAGACTTTGGATAGGAGAACACCGTATCACATCCAATTGTTCGTGGGCCGCTGCTCACTTCGCCTTCCTCTTCGCGCCTGTGCACTATTGTCGTATCCATATGGGCTCTGCTGAGTGGATACTCCGCAAGTGGTGCCCCATGTGGTGCGCTGACAAAACCCACCATCGGGCACAGGAATGGCGATCGCGATTACGCGGGATGCGTGGTTCGCAATGTCACCGATTACCATCATACTTACCTGGCCCGCTTCTCGAGGTGGTCAATTTGGCCTCGGTTGTATGATTGGCCTTCGCCTTGCACTTCGCGAGGGCTTTTCGTAGTCGGCCCTTCGGGTGTCCGGCAGGGCTAAATTTTTGTTAGGCTGAGGATTTGCGCAACGCGCGACCTCGGCACCCATTAAAGAAGTCCAGTACAAATCAACGAAAGGTCTTATACTGAATTTTACAAATATTACTCCTTGCTGTATGGAGACACGTGACAGCTATAACCTAGGGTTCTGGCGCTTCCGGTTCCGGCTCTTTGCTAATTCTAACTCTCACGCAAATGGGCGCAAGGGTTTGCTTCAGAACGATAAGCTTACAGGCCAAATGCAAAACACGCTGGACCAGCAGGACCAATTCAAAATGATCATGTTCGAGGGTCGTAGGCTAAATCCATTGTGTGGACAGGTTGCACACGAGGCACACGCTGCATGGCTGGGAGGGTACGGCCCCGTTATAGTTGTTATCCAGAGGTGTTGCGTTGGGTAGTGTATCAGCCCAGAGGTGGGTCAGAGGCCCTAGTGTTTTTACGGTGTTTCACTTACCAGAAATGTAACAGACCAGACACGACAAGGCAGGTATGACACCGGCTGTACCGATATACCGGCCGTACCGTTGCCGGCAATGGCCCATAAGGTATTCAGGGCTAGACTGTCGTAAGGATGCCTTTGGTACACACAGGCAGGATTCTTTTCAGACGTATTTGTATGTCCTCCACGCCTCTCCCCGGAACCTTTGCAGTACTTAACCGCCGCACAACCGTCAGGGCCAGTAGAACTTAGCGTGAACAGAAACTCCAGACATTGCATCGCACTTATTATAGATTACCGTTTGGTTTTCTTAACCGTGGAAGGTTTGCATGTACATGTTTATGAAACCAATTCGCCTTTGCATAGCTCAATTTTTGTAAATGAACCTTGCGGAGGACATGCAAAACATCTAACATGTCTACTTCACCTTTTACTTAATTTCAAAAATAGACTCAACGTAGAAGCTCAACTTTTGCATGAGCTCCGTGAAACGGATGGCTTCGGTTTTTGCGGAGCAACAAAACAGCAGGCACATGCTTTGCCCTGGCTTTGGAGGGGCGATCTGATATTAGATCGTCCTACTCTTGAGCCCAGCACTACGGTTATTTGGCATCGTGAGACTAGCTAACTGTGGCGAAGGGCTGACGCTCGTCTTGCGCCAGTACGCTTTGACTTAAAATGGTAAGTCAAGATCATGAGGTCTTTACACAAACGCGTCTTAAGGGGTACTGTTCAATAGTTTCGCGAGGCATTCGGAACGCAGCCCGCCATTAGGAACTAGCACTTGAATGCAGTTATGCTCCATACACAAGACCGGGGGTCCCTCAAGCTTTAAGGGGAAATCACAACCGGGCTCCTCTCTTCGGTTTTCCCCGTGTCGCATATTGAGGTTTTTATCCGTATACGCAAACAAGCCTGCACGCAGACATACCTTGGACGACTTCTGAACTTGCAGCTCTGGGTCGAGTTTGTCTTATCTATTTATGAGCTCATCAGGGATCCTAACAGTGGTTTCACTGCGATAATTACTTCGAACTCTACGTATTTCCTTGCGGGCGCATCTCGCTTTTATCTAAATGGGAGCTCTCAAGCTGACCCAATTTGACGGCATTTTTTTATCATCATCAAATCCTTCAGGTCCCGCACCTCTGCACAGCCTATGCTAGCTGCCGCACGCGATCAATTTTACAGGCGTGGCTGCTTTGCTGGTTGGTTTAGTGCCACCCCGCAACGGAGCAAAACACATGGCTATAGACGCGCACAGCCATCCTTCCCTATCCCGTTCCCATCGCACCAATGCTGACGCATGTGCGCCGGTCCATAATGACACGCACGCAACACACTGCATGACACAGAGGAGCCCGTAACGAACTTCCCGAGTCTGTCCTCTGCACACACACACACACACACACACACACACACACACACACTTGCACCCACCATCACGCGTAATGCGTCCGATGGTCACACGCCTGCCCCCCCATCACATGACCCACATCACATCATGTCATGTCCCCAGCAGGAATGAGATCTCCCATCGTCCAGCGACTCAGTTGCGAGCAGTCCAGCTGTATGGTTGCCGCTCCGTACCGCAGACGTGCGTATGTACGAATCGGCACACAGACATACGTGAATGGCTGCGTTTGTCCTGGGCCAGCTGCCAGCCTGGCTGGAGGACCGTTGGCAACCCATTCCCGAGCTGCACCCGCCGTCGCCGTGTCCAGGCTTAGAACTTCTACACCCTGATTCTGTCGCGTACGGTACCGATGACAGCAATCGGGATGTTCACTACTATGGCGGCGATGGCGACTTTGGTGGCGACGGTGGCGACATCGCCGCCTGTGTTTTATCCCCATCACCCCCCGGCATCCCCAGCGCCCACTCTTCGCGCTGTGTGCGGAGCCCCCTTGGAGGGAACGTCACCAGCAGAGGAGGGGGAGGGGGTGAGGGCCGCCTGGCCGCTGACCACGTCTTCGGACATCGCCCACATCGCCCACATCACCCGAACGAACTAAAAATTCCAGAAAAAATCTTCTTGAAGCAGCAGCAGCAACAGGAGGGATTGTCTCCAATGCCGCCGCCGCCGCCGCCGAAGCAGCAGCAGCAGTCGCAGCAGCAGCAGCGGGTTCCTAACACTGGTGCAGCAGCAGGAGCCCCCACTGCCGCCGCTATGCCGCTGCAGCCGCCGCGAGTCGCGGCAACCCAAAGCCAAATCGCAAATACCCAGCACCGACTGTACGATCAACAGCAGCAACAGCAGCAGCACCACCACCACCAACAACACCGCCAAGAACAGCCGCAACGCCATCACAACCACCACCACCACTACCAACAACAACAACGCAACCAGCAGTTTAACGACAATAACCAACATCAATATCATGCCGATTATTATCATTTACAACACCGGCAATACCAATATCAGTATCAGAACCAGCAGGAGATGGACGTCCAGGAACTAACCATCGTCCCGGTGCATACGGAGTCTTTTGCACCCACCATCATCATGGCGGCAAAACCGACTGCGGTTTCGGCTGCGGCCCCCGTTGATCCAGCAGCGACCTCCCCGGCCAGTACGGCACGGTATTGCGGCGCTACTGACGATTGGAATCATCAACAACATCAACCTCAATATCAACATCAGCCGCTTGAGACGCTGCAACGTCCCATCCATCAATCCGGGCCGAAGCAACCACTTCACCAGCAGCCGCTACAGCCGCCACCGGTGTGTCATCAGCCACGACTGGCCCCTGCGCCGCGTCCTCTCCAGCTACAGCCACAGCGGCGTCCACTTTTCCAGGAGCCGCCGCCGCCGCAGCAGCAGCCGCAGCAGGACGAGAGGCGAGGACAGCACCCGGGGGAGCCGTACCAAGTGCGAGTTGCCGCTGTGGAGGCAGTGGCCGCTTTGCGCGAGGGCTTGCTGCTCCGGCAGCTGCAGATAGCTGCCGCGGCGGGGGAGCTCCGGGGCCAGCGGCACCAGCGGCAGTTGGCGGTCACGGAGATGGCGGCGGCGGTGCGGGAGGCTGAGCTGGCGGGCCGGGTCGCGGAGCTGCAACAGGCCGCTACAGCCCGTGAGCAGCAGCACCGGCAGGAGCTTGCAGGGGCGTACGACATGGCGTCATGGATTGCTGTACATGCTGACGGCGCTTTATGGCCCGGTAGCACCGGCGGAGCGTCTGAGCAGCGTCGGCAGCAGCAGTGGCAGCAGGATATGCAGGAGCGGCGGAGGCAGGCCGCAGTGGCAGCGGCAGTAGCAGCCGCAGCGGAACAGGAACGTCAGCTGCAGTGGCGGACAACGGCGGCGGAGCGCCAGGCCGAAGCGGTACTGGATCTGCAGCGACGGCGAAGAGATGAGGTGGACCGCCAGGCTGCGGCGATAGTAGAGGAAGAGGCGGAGCGCCAGCGGCGGCGGCACGTCGAGATGGCGGAGAAGGCGGCTGCCGTATTGCAGTACGGTGAGCAGCGACGGGCGAATGTGGCTCGCCAGGCGACTGCCATTCGTGAGTCAGACAGCATGCGGCTTGCTGACGTGGCGCGGTGCGCGGTGGCGATGGGGGAGGAGAGCCAGCGGCGCCGGGCGGAGGCGGTGAGTCATGCCGTACAGGTTGGCGAGCAGCGGCTAGCACGGCAGGCGGCGGCTGAAGCACAGGCGGCGTTGTACGGCGAGCAGCGACACCGCCGTCAGGTCGCTGCAGCAGCGCAAGCGGAGCAGGCCGTACAGTACCGCGACTGGGAACACCGTCACATGCAAATGGCGGTGGCGGCAGAGGCGGATCGCATGGCGTGCCTCCACCACCAACAGCAGCTCGAAGTGGCTGACCGGGTGCTGGAGGCGGGTGCCCAGCAGCAGCGACGGCACGCGGAGGTGCTGCGAGGCGCGGCGGCAGTACGGCACGAGGAGCAGCGGCGGCGGCAGGCGATAACAGACCAGGCTATTGCACTGACGGAGCTTCGGCACCAGCAGCAGGCGGCTGTAGCACAGCACGCCGCCGCGTTAGCGCGGCTGGAGCAGCAGCAGCGGCTGGAGCTGTTGCTACTGCGGGAGCATCAGCTACAGCAGCAGCAACAGCTGTGTAAGCAGCAATTACAGCTGCGGTATACCGCTACGCCGGAGGTGTCGAGTGATATGGCGGCACCTCCGCCGCCGCCGCCGGCGGCGGAGGGAGGGAGACTTAGTCCGCAGGGCCCGGATGGTCCCGCTGCGGCGGAGCTGGATTGGGAGGTGGAGAGGAAGACAGCACTGGGGGGAGACGTATTGGCGGAAGGCGGGGTGCTCTGCATGTGTCAGGGAGCTGCCGCTGCTGCTGTAGGAGATGGAGGTGGAGGAGCGGAAGCGGAAGCGGAGACTGCGGCGGCGACATTGACCGCAACCGTACCTGCCGAAACGCTAACAGGAGGTATAGCAGCAGCAGTAGCATCGGCAAGTTTGGGCCCGTTAGCATCAATCGTACCAGAAACCCTTGATCATGCGGTCGAGGCCTTGGCTGTAGTCTCAGCCACCCACGCCGCCGCGGAAGCAGCAGCAGCAGCAAGGGGGATGGGAGTGCTGTCGGTAGCAACGCCGTCAACAGCGGTAATGATAGCAGCGACTGCAACTACAGCAGCAGCAGTGGAAGTGCCTGCGGATACAGGTATCGCAAGAGCAGCAAGAGCAGCAGCAGCAGGAGCAGCAGCAGCGGCAGCTGCAGCTGCAGGAGGAGCAGTAGAATCAGCGGCATCGGCAGCAGCATGGGGTTTAGTTCCAGCAGCAGCAGTCTTGGCGATAGCGCCGAGCACGTCGCCGCCAGCCAGCACAGCAATGAAAACAGCTTATGGCGCAGACGCACCTGAAGCAGCGGCAGTAGCGGCAGTGACGGCAGCATCAGTAGCAGCAGCACCCAGAACAACATTAGCAGTAACGCAGCAGCAGCAGCAGCAGAAGCAGCAGCAGCAGCAGAAGCGGCACGCGGTAGAAGGGGCTCTTCCGCCACCGCATCCAGCAGTAGCAGCAGTAGCCCCCGCGTCGGTTGCCACTGCTGATGCTGGTGGCGACGATTATGGCGGCGAATGTGTGGATAGCGACCACAGCCAACAGGACGGTAGTTATCTAGACGCGGACAGGACTTCACATCAGCACCTTCAAAACGTACAAAAAGGCGTCCCGGGTGCACGCCTGGATGCGCTGGAGAAGCGCCTCTCTGTCATGCAGCGACGGCTCGCCGCCAAGGAGCGCACCTTTGTCGCCGCGATGACGATGATTGCCGAG